GGGGGGGGGGGGGGGGGGGTCAAACAGACATGGTGCTGACCCAGCTTTAATTTAAATGATTGGAGACTTTTTCTTGGTCTTTAAAAAAAAAAAAACACATCCAGAAATCCTCATCCTGTTAAGACAGCAATAAAATCATCAATAACCAACAGTCAAACTCCCCACGGCCAGCAAACCTTGCTTTGATTTCCATTCAGTCTAAGTTTACTTTAAGGTCCAGCAGACCAAGCAAAAAAAAAAAGAAAAAAAAGGTTTGACTGGAAAACATTGGCCTAATTCTGGTCTTCAACAGCCAAATGCACAATTCACATTGGATTAAACACAAACGGTGCTCAGATGTCACCAGCTCCCCCGCGAATAACTCTTTGGATACTCCAACAATTTCTAAGACTTCCTTACCTCTGGCCATGGGGATTTGGGGTATTGGCAGGGCTTGAGTTCTGTGAGTTTCCTGGACTGTTGCTATGACTGCTTCCTATGAATGAAAAGAGAGGAGGAGAAATATTGAGAAAAATCAACACCGTCTAGTCCGTAAAATTGTTTGTCACAATTCTGTAACAATATTTTTTTATTAATAATAAACTCCTTGGATATTTTCATCACTTTAAAAATAACTAGATGAATTCTATTTCACATATAAATAAATATGGCATACAACTGTGACATAAAAAAACGCTACGTATCCGACATGCTTTAAATCAGAAACTAAGCACAAATATCAACCAGATTCTTAGATCTCAGATCATGGATTTCGAGCTAGAAGCTTGCAGATCTTCGTCTCTGCCAGCACCAACTCCATTTGCACCTCTCAACACAGTGAAACTGTGGTTTTAGCTAGCTCAGCTGAGATTTTCAAAGAAAGCCTCCAATTATGAGGTTTTGGCATCTAAGCGTTCTTACTTGCCGTTACTGGAGATGATATTGCCACAAATGGCTTAGCAGGATTATTTCAGCCTATGTGGAATCTGATCTTTCATCGGGGGAGACTTTCCTTTGTAAAAGGTAGCTTAGAATTCTTATTTATTTGTGCAAATTATTTCAATATATATTACAGGAAAGGCGATTCAGTTGGTTATGATAGCATCTAATCCCACACCATGACATATTTTTGGAGCTTGAATGCTATCAAACATTCTAATGTTTAATACCGGCTAACAAACAATTTGAAACATTTCCACCACCTGCAAATGACTGATGAGTCATAACCAGGAGCTGGTTTCAACATGAAAATATCAAAAGAGTTGCGTAATGCAGTTACTTGTTGTAAAGAACCATTAATCCTTATTATCAGTACCCTCTCCCTCCCTTCCCTTAAAAAAAAAACATATAAATTGAAGCTGATATTTTTGATTGAAAATGTAAACAAATAAATCCCAGATAAGAAACTGTGATTTTTTTGTGTATTCTTTCCTCAAATCCAAATGAGTAATGGCAATAATGGGTGACATCTGTTTCCACTGATCCAGTTATAGCGTGTTTGCATACATAAAAAAATGTAGCGTGTGATTTTATCCTTTAAAGATAAATCATTTGTCACATCATTATTTACATCAATTTTCACATATTTTCCAAAACATTTCAGGAGGTATAAAAGAACCTTTAGAAACATGACTGTGAGACAACATGAGTATGCACATCAAATTAAATCTTCCATCCATTCTCTTAAGAAATCGGATGAACCATTTCCAGAGTTCATAAACTGACTTTAGGATTATGTCCACAAAAGTGAACTGTGAAAACATCAGCTGACTGTGCCCATAGTGCTTGGACTGTTTTGTTTTTGTGATAAAGTGCACTCACCCGATCGGAACTGCACATGGATGTTTCTGCCAAACAGAATCGTCCCGTTGAGAAGTTGCATGGCATAAGGCACAGACACCTCATGTTTGTAAACGACGAATCCAAACGTTTTCTGTTTTCCATCCGCGTCTTTGGGGATTTTAGTTTTGATTAGAGGTCCTGCCTGAAAAAAAACAAAACAAAACGATATCCGTCACACACTAGCTTGTGCCCAACGGTCAACAAACGGAAGCGGGATGACTTCTGTAAAGAGGCAAGTGCTGATTGAACTGTTACAATGTGTGTACAACCGGTATTAAAGTTATAGGAAAAATAATAACATTTAATGAACACCAGCATTTCGCTTTGTAAAAAAACAGCAACAAATAACTGCGTCAATGTTTGTCTTAAGCTTTCTACGTGTTAGCATTAGCGTCGGCCTGCTTTTATAAAAACACATTTTCTGCCTCTAAACAAACTGCACCTGTAAAAACAGCTCGAACAAAAGCTCCTCCGTTACTCTGGCCTCCAAATTTCTTATGAAGAGCGTGCGGTCAGCTTCTTCCTCTATCCCCATTGTATCGAGCTCACAGCAAAATTATTCCATTTACATGTACCCTAGCCCTAGCATTAAAAACACTGCGACGTTCAACCGGAAGGTATATTTTGACGTAAAGACGTAAAGCAAAGCGCGTAATACCGGACGTAGCATACGTAGCGTCGTGCAGTCGTAAACAGCAACGGTTTTACGCCACAGATACCGCACAGGTCTATTGATGCAACAACGTATTTATTAAAAATCATTTATATTCTCCACGCACTAAAAAAAAAACGTTTACTCTCCGCATGGCTCAATTATTTGAAAGTTTTTACATTATTTTTTATTTGATACACAATTATCCACAATTATCCCCATATTTAAATAGAATTGTCACAGACTAATTTCAAACCCAGGATCTTTAATTCATACTTAGTGTGGGTGGGCAGTTTTATACTGCTCCTATACCTATTTGTTTCAATATGCCATTATTTCAGCAAGTATAAAAGGAAAGTACTTATTAGACCCTAATATTTTTATTGGTCCATTTAGAGGACCTCTTCCCATAATCACTCAATAGATTAGCAGAATATAAACAAAATCCCATGAAAATAGTACACACAACAAATTGGTGAGAACCAAGTCATCCATACTGAACCATCCATATTTACCCCTTTTTTTAACTCACATTCAAAGATGATCACGGAATGACAGCAATTGCAACTGTCATTTAAACACTGGGTAGATAAATAAAAGTGGATCCAATGCCTGTGGCATGATTATGTATACAGCCTGTTTTGATGATACTTGTGTTGCAGTTTTCCAACATATCACGTGACAGATAAAGAAGGAGCCAATAAGGACACACGGTTAGCCTTCTAGGCAACCTCTTCTTGGTTTTCAAATAGGAAAGAAGTTAATTTTCCTTATATTTTTAATATACTGTTGTATATGAGTGAGTTATTTGCAGTTGTAAAGATAAGTGGAGCCATGCTTATGTCACCAACATCCAACGTGGCCTGAGAGGACATTAAAATCACAATCAAGCCTTACCTTCTGTGGGTTTACATTGAAAATAATACTTGTAAATACACAAGACAGACATGAACAGAGGACAGTTAAAAATCAACATACTTTTTCCCATCCGTCCATTGAAAGGTTCAACTGAAATCTCTCAAAATATCTAAATTTCAGTCTTTTGCAGCCTCACTGACATTGATGCAAAAATTAAACATACCCATACCTCACACTGAAATCCATGGTACACTGATATTATTTCCCCAGCTAAATCAGTAAAATAAACATTACTGTCCTACCAATAGTCGCGCTAATAAATTCTCAAAGATTTAAAAAAATGTTGCTTGATAAAGATCAAAAAGGGCCAATAAGAAAGCACCCCTGGTTTTTCCAGAACACAGTATGTCACACTATGTAACAGCAAACCTCAATATCCATCCATCCATCCGGCATTGGATCCATGGCTGCCTGCACCTGTCTAGAAGCTCATGTGATTGCATGCGGTTCATACTGTGTAAAGGGCGAGTCATCATAGCTGTCATGGAAAAGTTTTTAAAAATTTATACCTGAGGCAAACATGATAAGCCACTGTGAAGTCATTTAAACAGAGTCAGCGTTTGAAAGAAGATTTTCAGACCTCAAGGGACATCCTCTGATGTCGTCACATCGCTCTATATGTTGAAAAATGACCATAAGGGAGAGCTCCTTCCTTTATGTGCTTGACACTGAGAGAAGGTTAAGTAAGCTATCCCAATAGGGGATGAAAGCAAAGATTTTATGCACTAAACCTTTGTAAGGGCAGTCTTAATTTTTTCTACAACATATTTAAATATTCTTTATCTGTTTTGACAACATAACATTTGTATTAAGCCTATTTTAACTTGTTCTATACACTGTAATCATTAACTGTCATGTTTAAAAGCCTGAAGAAGTTATTTTTTCTTCATTGTCAACAGGGCTTCAGCAAGGTGAAGTGAAGCATCTGGAACTGAGTACTTTCAATGTCGCCAAACTGCGTGGTGTGGAGGTCAAGCGGGCAGAATGAGAGCCTTTACTCCCATCCTAATCAGATGAACCGTGGAGTCTGTCTTCCATATTAATCAGATCAATTTGATATGTAATGATTTTCTCCTTCATGGCTGGAAACAAATTGTAACAGATTTTGCCATAGATGGAATACGGAGGGAAAAAAGGACGACATTCAAGCCTTCTCTGTTGGTTAAATCTAAGTTCTACAGGATAACATTCTGCATAGCCCCACATAATCAACCCAACACCCTGCAATCTGCATGACATATGTATGCCATGCAAGTCAGAGTTTCCATAATATTACTCATGTGGCAATAAACTCTGCAGTTTAACACCAAAGTCTCAGCTGTCATCATGCCTGCTGGGAGCTGAAATGCTGCGCATAGTTATTAACATGTGCTGCAAGGGACATTGCTGCAAATGTTGATGATTTATTATGCTGCGAGGCTGCAATGTAAGCTGTAAAAAGGCAGCCCAAACCATAAAATCACACCTGTGTGGCACACTGTTTGTCTACCCAAGCCCTTGAATCTATTTTTGGCTCTTATATTGCCACTACCCCATACATCTCCCTGATCTTGTTTCCCTAGTTTTACAACAATTGGAAGGGGTTCAAGGGAGCAATATGGACATGTACTGTGCCGAACAGAGGATACAAAGTAAACTCAGTTGGTGATTCATCTTTTTTTCTTTTTCAGTCCGTAAACTTATCTGATAGATAAAAAAAAAACAATCTTCTATGAATATAACAGATACTGTATGCTGAAGGGAATGCTGAAGATTCTGGATAATAGCAGTAGGTGGCAGCATTGATCCACTGATTCTGGCTACACTAGCATGCCACTATAGGGATTTTATTTCTGTGGGCATGTGAAATGGTTGTTATGCTGTGTGGCAGGGAAAAAACAGACAGGGTATTTTATGTGGAGAAATTGGATTCTATTGTTATTGGAATATCCCCTTTTTATGTTTCTTCCATTGGGCTACAGCCCACTGTCAGCTTTCCAATGGGCTTTAAATGGATTCTTAATGAGGTGAAATAACTCTATTTGGTCAATAGAATTCTCTCTTTTCAACAGGAAAATTTGTCAGTTGTCCACAAAAGGGGAACACTTGGATTTTCGGTTTGCCGTTGAAAGGAAATATTACAAAATAATATTTGAATATTTTAACAGCATAAAATCACCCCTTTTATTGTCCACGCATGAACATTTTAATCATTCTAAGTACTTGAAATCCAGTTTAATGAAAAAACTGTTCGCTGACTGCAAAAATGGAAAGCGTGGCTGATATATAGATATCATCCTTATAGGTGTTGTAAAATATATTAAGACCCTTATTATTTGGCTTTCATGCTTTCAGCCATGCAACTCCCAGAACGGCTGAACACTTTTTGTAGAAAGCATTGTAACCTCACAGCAAGAAGGTTCCCAGTGTTAATTGTGGCGTTTCTATGTGGGATTTACATACTTTCCCTGGGTACTCCTGTGTCGCCCCAACGTCCAAAGCCGTTTATGTCAAGTTGATCATTGACTCCTGATTGGCTGTGGCAGTAGACTCACACCTCATCCAAACTTTGTGTGTTGGGTAAATGAAGCGAAATGAAGCCAAGATCCGACACACTCCTGCGGCTTTTAAATTGCCTAAAAATAGCCAAGCAGGAAGACACCATCCAACAATTCCTTTGGACTCAAAGTAAAAATGACAGTATGATGTGGATTCTTTGTCATTCAAATCAAACACATGCGGACAAAAATGTGTGTCGACAATTTAAAATGAGGGACCATGCTGCATGGCAACAGGGAAAATAAACGCCACAACCCAGGAAATGGACCACCACTGGCTATGCATGGTTTGGTCAGAGATAGGTACAATTTTATGTTATTTCCATCTAGCCGCATGAGGTAATATTGATATGGCTACATGCACACTAAATACACGTCAGCACAGTGTAAGCATATTTCCCACTCTGACCTTTTTGCCTGAAGGTGTTTCATTGAACTGCAGAGCGACGGACTGGTGTCTCCACCCTCCTCCTTTAACACCAATCTCTCCTTTAGGCTGCAATGTATAGACACAACCCGCTGCCCTTCCCTCCTGTTCATTAATATTCATAATTCATGCGGAATGAAGTGATTCGGGATCATTAAACGCACATGAATATTTGTCGGATGAAAGTTTAATTAAGCCATCCCTCTTTGGCAGCGTGATGTCACAGAGCAGCTTCCCATTCACTGCATCCAGCACACAGCTTAATGGCCTGTGTCTTTTTAAGTGCTACTCAGTGCTTATCCAGCAAATGCCTCTGTCTACTCCCAATCTTATTGCACCCCTCTTGAGTTGATATTTGATAGAACCAATTGATAGGGAGGTACGTTTGAGCAGTTCGTTTTGTTTCAGTGGCATTAGGAGGATCAATCATACTTCATTCAATACAGCAGGAGAACCAGTTTTGTGTTGGATTTCATTCATTATTCAGGACTGCAGACTATACATAGCATACAGGTTCCGTTTGAGATCTTGTGTCTATAAAGTCCTTCGTTGGCAAAGTTGCCGATAAACGTTATTAATTAAAAGTTCTGCATGCAACGCAACAAACATTTTCAGCTCATCTATTCCTTTTAACTTTGCCTTCCCAGAATTAGGTGTCGAGACTTTAGAGAAATGTCCTAGTTTCCCTTTGGAGGACACATCTCATGAAGTGACTCACATGCAGACACACACGCACTCACACACACACACACACACACACACACACATACAGGCATTCTGGGTGTGCAGACAAGACCTCATCATTGGCAACCTGCCACACCATTTCAGCACCCATCCAAGACAAATGCATTCAAATACATTCTCTGATGGGTGTCAAAGCCGCCTCCTATTTTTGGTGTTGTTTTTTCCCTCCTGTTGCAACATGCTTGTTATCCCAATATCAGTGGTGCATGTTGTGGCCGCCCTGACATGATGTGACTTCATTTTCGTTTGTGCGACTCCCCCTCTTTTTCTGTCCTCCTTGCACAAACACACAGACGCATTAAGGGAGAGATCCATCCTGTTGCTACAGTGCTGCAGTGCTGAG